GGCCGGCCTGAAGGCCGGTGTGCCACAGCGCTCTTGGCTGCATGGCTCCCCGAGCGCCAGGGGCCCTCCCTCTGAGGGCCTACGAGGCAGAAAGTGAGCCAGCCGGAAGACAGGTGCTCCCTGCGTGTGGCTCCCCATGCACTGGGGGCCCTCCCTCTGGGGGCCTGCGAGGCAGGGAGCGAGCTGCCGGTCGAAAGACTGGCGCTCCCCACCCATGACTCCCTGTGCGCTGGAGGCCCTCCCTGCGGGGGCCTATGAGGCAGGAAGTGAGCCAGCCGAAAGACAGGCGCTCCCTGCCCTGTGTCTCCCCGTGTTGCTCTTCTGTTGTTGGAGTTCTCTGGAATCCAATTTCTGACTCCTTGCTGCTGCTTCAGAAACTTCCACATTGCTGGTCTCACTGATTGCTCTTCTCTCCAAAGGTGTGTGTGCACCCCTGCACCTGGGACCTGGCTGTTGTCCTGGGTCTCAGGTCTTGGGGTTCATGTTGGTCCACCTGCCAAAGGCATGTGTCCTTACACTCCTCTTGCAGGCCACACCTTCCCAGGGCAATGGAGGAAGTGCAAAACCCAGACTTGCACTCCTCTCGCACGCCCTGCTGTCCTGGGGCAATGGGGAAGTGCAGTACAAATAAATAAAGCATGTACAACTGCAAATAAAATAAATCTACATTAACACATATAATAATCAAGATTGCAGAAATTCGGCACAAGAACAGAAGACTAAAAGTAGCTAGAGAAAAGAAAGAAATTACCTATAAAGGAAATCCCATCAGAATCATAGCAGACTTCTCAACATGAACCCTCAAATCAAGGAGAGCTTGGAGTGAGGTATTTCAAGCCCTAAAAATCCCCCTTAAACCCAGATTGCTGTACCCCATGAAAGTATCTTTCAAAATTAGTGGAGAAATAAGATACTTCATGACAAAACACAACTGAAGAAATTTATGACCACCAAACCAGCTTTTCAGAAAGAGAAGACAAAGACCACAAACTCAAAGACACCAACAGAAAGAAGTCACTAGGTAGAAGGAGAAAGACGGAACCAAGAAGAGGAAAATAACATGAAAAAGATAAGCCAATACATATCAGTTGTAACCATCAGTGTAAACAGTCTCAATTCTCCAATCAAAAGAAACAGACCAGCAGAATGGATCAAGAAGCAAGATCCAACAATAGGCTGCATAAAAGAAACACATTTAACTCAAAAGGAAATTCATACACTGAAAGTCAAAGGATGGAAAATGATACTCAATTTGACAGGATCCCAGAAAAAAGCAGGGGTAACTGTTCTGTTTGCAGACGATGTGAACTTCAAGCCAAGACTGATCAAAAGAGACAAAGAAAGTCACTACATATTTGTTAAAGGAAAACTTCAAGCAGAAGTAACACTCATAAATCTATATGCAGCAAATACTGGTGCATCCAACTACAAAAACAAGTATTAACAGACATGAAATATCAAATAAGCACTAACACAACTGTAATAGGGGAACTTAATACCTCACTCACACAAATAGATTAACTACACAAAAAAGTCAACAAGGAAATATCAGAATTAAACTAAACCTGTGAACAAATGGTCTTAGTAGATGTCTACGGAGTGTTCCACCCCACAACATCAGAATAAACATTCTCAGCTGCACATTAGACATTCTCTAAAATAGACCATGTATTAGCCCATAAAACATGCTTAAGTAAATGCAGAGGAACTTAAATTATCTCATGTATATTATTGGACCATAGTGCAGTGAAAGTGGAAATCAATAGCAAAAGAAATCACAAAAACTACATAACCTCATGGGAAATAAACAACACCATTCTGAATAACCAGTAGGTCAGAGAAGAAATTAAAGAAGAAATTAAACAGTATCTACAATTAAATGATAATGCTGATAAAAAATACCTGAACTTATGGGATGCAATGAAAGCAGTGCTGTGAGGGAAAATTATAGCAATGAATTCTCACATCAGGAAAACAGAGATCAAGGAAACAACCTAATGGTGAACTTCAGACCTAGGAAAAAAGAATAAATCAAACCCAAAGCTTGTGCAAGGGAGCAAATTATAAATAGCAGAATGCAACTGAGACTAAGAAAACAATGAAAAGAATCAACAAATCAAAGAGTTGGTTCTTTGAAAGACTGAATAAAATTGATAAACCCTTAGCCAACCTCATCAAAAAGAGGAAAGAAAAGACTCAAATTCAAACAGGAATGAAAAGGTGGAAATCACAATGGATCCTGCAGAAATCCAGAAGATCATCAATACCTAGTCAACAACCTGTACTTAAATAAAATGGAAAACACAGAAGAGATGGAGAGATTCCTAGACTCATATAAATTGACAAAACTGAATCAAGAAGATATAAAAATTCTAAATAACCCAATATCAGTCAGTGAAATTGAAAATGTATTGAAGAACTTACCAACAAAAAAAGGCTAGGTCCTGATGGATTCACTGCTAAATTCTACAAAAAATTTCATGAAGAACTAATGGCACTAATGTTGAAAATCTTTAACGAAACTGAAAGGGAAGGAATACTTCCAAAATCATTCCTGGAAGCCAGCATTACTGTGATACCAAAGCCAGAGAAGGACCCATCCAAAAAAAAAGAAATGCAGGCCAATCTGCCTAATGAACATAGATGTGAAAATCCTCAATAAGATATTGGCAAACAGAGTGCAACAAATAATAAGATTACATAGAATGACCAAGTAGGATTCATCCCAGGGATGCAGGGGTGGTTCAACATACACAAATCAATAAATGTAATATACCATATTAACAGAGCCAAAGACAAAAATCACATGATCATCTCAACAGATGCAGGAAAAGCATTCAACAAAGTCCCAACACCCCTTTATGGTAAAAAGCCTACAGAAAATTGGAATTGATTGGAATAGATGTCTTTTATCTCAATCTAATAAAAGCCATCTATGACAAACTAACAGCTAACATCATACTAAATGATCAAAACCAGAAAGCTTTCACTCTAAAATTAGGTATACTACAAGGATGTCCACTAATATTACTCCCATTTAATATAGTTCTGGAAACATTATCCAGAGCAATTAGATAAGAGAAATAAATAAATGGAATAAGGCTAGGAAAGGAAGAAGTTAAATTATCGTTATTTGTGGATGACATGATACTCTTTTGTGGAAGACCCCAAAAGCTTCACCAAAAGATCGGTCGATTTCATAACCAAATTCAGTAGTATAGCTGGATACAGAGTTAACACTCAAATATCAATAGCATTCCTGTACACAACAAATTCACTGAGAGAGAAATTAGGGAAACCATACCCTTCACAATAGCACCTAAAAAATGAAATACTTAAGAATTGATGTAACAAACAAAGTAATAGAGCCATACATTTAAAATTACAGTACTCTGAAAAGAGATAGAAGAGGATATCAAAAGATGGAAGGCTATTCCCTGCTCATGGATAGGAAGAACCAGTATAGTGAAAATGGCCATACTTCCAAAATTGTTTTGCAGATTTAGTGCAGTTACATTCAAAATATCATTGGCATACCTCACAGAACTAGAGAAAACATTCCTAAAATTCATTTGGAACCAGAAGAGACCTAGAATAATAAAAACAGTTCTGGGCAACAAAGGCAAGGCAGGGGGCATCACAATCCTTGACTTGAAGTTGCACTACAAAGCTACTGTAATAAAATCAGCATGGTATTGGAAAAAAAGCAGACCTGAGGGTGAGTGGAATAGATGAGAAGATGCTGACACAACTACAAACACACTCGGCCACATCATCTTTGACAAAGGGCCAAACATGTTCATTGGAAGAAAGATAGCCTCTTTTATAATAAATGGTGCTGGAAAAACTGGCTTTCCACATACTGAAGAATAAAACTAGACCCATGTCTATTACTATGTACTAAATTGAAGTCAAAATGGGATCTAAATATTAAAACAGAAACACTAAATCTAATAGAGGTCCCTTGGGACCTGGAGAAATCTTTATTACATAAAATATTGACATGAAAATATACAATCACAGGGAGGTCCAGGTATCACTGAAGAAAGACATAAGAGTCACTGGGCTGCAACTGGATCTCATGGCACCTTTTCTTCAAAATCATCTTCTGCGTTATCAGGGTTAGCAAAGGTCAGGAAGACCTGTTCCAGGGTGATCTGACCGATGGAATAGTCTTCTAAACTGAATTCCACTTTGGCTTTCTCCAAAATGCCAAACACCTTCAACAGCAACACAAATGTGCAGTTACTTCTGCAGTCTCCACTCCAGCCCCCACCCAGATGAGCCTCTCCATCTCTCCCCCAGATACTGTGAAGTGATACTGTCGAGTTTATGCCAGAGGACGAAGGGCACAGAAGGGGGAGTTGAGAAAGTGGAAGGAACAGGCAACTCAGGAACAGAGGAAACAGTTCTGTGTCTCCATTGTGTTTTGTGAACATGGATTAGTAATGGGATTTTGGAGCAGAAGTCAAAGCAGTTACACTCCAGAAGTGTTTGAACGGTAATCTAAAGGCTCTGCTGCTTCTGCAGGCCAGGGTACCACTCCACACGCCTGGACCCCAAGTATTTCCCATCATCTGTGCTGCCTTAGTGTGTGATGCTAGAAGGGCCCGGTTTCTACCATCACCTTTCCCCAGCTATTGTCCTTCCTTGGGATGGAGTAGGTAAGGATCCCTTGATTCTCCTCCTTTAAGATACTACCTAAAGAAGAAAAATAGGACAGGGGAATAGTCTTACAAATTTCATTTAAACTTGCCAGAATATTGCTACATCTACTTAATATAACCAGCAGAGAAATGACTAGATGGGACTTATACGAAAGGGGGTATGACCCAGTAACCTGCTCGCTTTGGTTTGTATGGCATGGCTAATGCTTTCAGGCTTATTCCCGATGGAATGTCTTATTGTGTAGAAATCATAGCAATTACTGAGGGCAGGCTTTCAGGTACAGCATAATAAACTGTCAGCTCATGTGCCCAATATAGAAAACCTGAGTCTTTAAAAAAATTTTTTTTTCTCTGCAGTCTTTACACTGAGCTACATCCTCAGATCCATCCATTCATTTATCCACCCTTTTCCCCTTCTTTCTTTCCTTTCCCCCCCTCTTCCTTCCTTCCTTCCTTGACAGGGTCTCTTTAAATCACTCAGGTGCCCAGGCTGGGCTTGAACTTGCCAGCTTGCTGCCTCAGCCTCCTAGAGTGCTGGGATTGCAGGTATGTGCCAACTTGTTCAGTTGAGCCTTTAAAAAATTCTAATGTTGGGCAACCCATTCAGGACTTCTCCTGTCTCTCAGGAGCTATTCCTATGCTCCATTCCTTTTCTCCAACAGATTTTTCTACTCTTAACCTCTGTTGTTCCTTAGAATTTATTCTTTGATTTTGGGGAACACAAACTTGGCATATCTGACATCTAGCATTTCTCCTATATCACTCAGAGGACAGAAGGGTGCCTGGTAAAGACCGGGTATTCATTTTTGAAATGAGTGACCTTATATATAAATCCATCAAACACTTTTTTAGTTATGTACCAATAAAAATAAAAAATTTAAAAAGATTAAAAATATATTAATAAAAACCCCTACTTTCCTACCATTAATGATCAATACACTGGTTCATAAAAAATTGCAGTATTACTATAAGATTTATTCTTAACAGTAGGGCTGAGAAGAGGAACTGGGAAGAGTTTCCTACTGGCTTTTATGCACACACACTGTGTTTGGAGGGGAGGGAGAGGAACAAGGCTGCCACTATGCCTTGTCATTCTGTGCGAAAGAAGTCACGCACAGAAGTCATCAAAGTCAGGTTGTGTGTTCTGCTTTTCACAAGTAAGAATATACTACTGGAACTAGAGGGAAAAGGGTGGTACCTTTTCCTGCTTTAGAACAGATTTGTTTACACTTATCACTGCGAATTTACAATTATTACAAATTGAATTAACTTGGATTAAAAGTTTTTAATAAAAACATGTCTGTAAGGGTATATGAACCTTTCTTTTTCTTTTCTTTTCTTTTCTTTCTTTCTCTTTCTTTCCTTCTCCTTCCTTCCTTCCTCCTTTCCTCCTATTTTTTTCTTTTTTCTTTTTCCAGTACCAGGAATCAAACTCATGACCTTGCGCTTACCAGGCAGGCACTGTGCTCCTGAGCTAAATCCGCAGCCTCCTTCCTTCTTTCCTTCCTTTCTTTCAAAAAGGGTCTTGCGATGCAGTTTAGGCTTGCCTTATATTCACTCTGTAACTCAACCTGGCCTCAAATTTGCAGCAATCTTCCTGCCTCAGACTTTTGAGGGCTGGAATGACAGTCATGTACCACCATGACTGGCAGATTTCCTTAATGCTAACCTTAATGCCTGATCACATAAAGTTTTTTATTGAGAAATATTTCAACACAGAGCTGAATGACTTATTCAAAACAAGCACTGATCCTTTAGGTCAAATAACAGTCACCCATTCACTCTCACCTGCAACTGCCCAGCCTCCACACACTGTGAAAATAACCAGCACTTACATCGACATTCTGGGCATTTCTGTTGTCTTGTTTTTGTTTTTGATATATATATATACACACATATATATGTGTGTACACACACACACACCATGCACACACACTAAAATTTATATTTCATTGTGTTTACCATGTGGTTTTGATATACGTATACATGTAGAAATACTAAATGAAGCTAACATGCAGCTCCTCACATATCTGTGTGTATGTGTTTATGTGTGGTTAGAACACTTAAAATCTATTTTCTTAGGGATTTTTCAATAATATAATAAGTGATTAACTACAGTCACCATGTGCAATAGATCTGAATTCCTATCTACCTAAAATTTCACATCCATGGTCCAATCATCTCCCCCACCTTACCCCACACCAGTCTCTAGTAACCACCCATCGACTTTCTACTTCTGTGTGCTCAGTTTTTTTAGAGTCCACATATAAGAAAGCACATGGGGTTTCTGCCTTTCTATGTATGGCTTATTTCATTTACAATCATGTGCCCCGCATTCATTCATGTTGCCACAAATGACAGGATTTCCATCTTTTTTAAGGCTAAGTAGTACTCCATTGTGTATTTATATGACATTTTTTATCCATCATTCCTCAACAGACACTTGTTGCAGATGTATGTTTTGCAAATATTTTCCCCAGTTCTACAGATTGCCTCTTCACGCTGTTGATTCTTTCCTTGGGTGTCTAGTTTTTTGTTTTTTTTTTTTTTGTACTTTGATGCAGTGCCACTTGACAATTTTTGTTCCCATTTATTTTTGCTCTTGTTGCCTGTGCTTTTGGAGTCATATACAAAAAATCAGCTCCCTTTTTCTTATTCTATTTGATTAGCTATTTTCTCAAGAATGACATAAGGAAGGTCTGGGCAACAACCATCCTGTACTTAGGAATGCACCTCCAATGCACGTTTCTGTTAAAATGCTTGTGCCCACAGTTTTGAAGAGAGGTCAGTGTTTGGTGTCCCCATTTCAGTAGGGCAAGTTGCTAGGAAACCTCACTGTAAATGAAGTTCTCTGGTCTCAGTTTTTCTTTGTGGTGATTTAGGTACCACATCAAATAAAACTTGGATACAATGAGTACTCAAAAATACTTGCCAAATGAATGTGGGACATACCCATCGGCACTTTCTAGGAACATCATAATCACTATGACTAATTCTGTTCTCCACCTCTGCTTTACTGCTTATTTTTACCTATTTTCCAATCTCTGTTTCTACTGTGTCATCAATCATGTCATTTTCTATCACCTAGAAGATAAGATTCTAACTCCTTAGCTTAACTCATAGCAGAAACTTGTTATATTTTGTTCAGTCTAGCAAAGTGAAAACTAAGCTGAAAAGCCACAGTTACTTTTCATGCCTGTACTTTAAGTTTAGGAAGAAGAGGTAAGGAAGGGACAAAAAGAAATAGTTGCTGTTGCTTGCGCTGCGCCATGTAGATAGAAAGGTGTTTACTGAATTTGTCCCTCAGAACCAGAAGGATTACTGAGAGGAAAGAAATACCTACTGGATCTTGTTTCGTTTGTTTGTAATTGTTTTTTGAAGATAGGGTCTTGCTGTATAGTGCAGGCTGGCCTTGAACTCACTATGTAGCCCAGGCTGGTCTCTAACTCATGGTGATCCCCCTCCCTCAGGCTCTCCAGTGCTGGGATGGATTACAGGTGTGCACATCACACCCAGTACTTACTGGATCTTGCTTGCATGTCAAAACATATCCTGGCCAAGGCAGCAAAATGTCAGGTTTCCATGCTGTGTGTGTGTGTGTGTGTGAGACCCTTAAAACTTTGCATGGGGATTATGTGAAAATAATTGGGAATTATGCTAAACATATGATCCTATAATTTCTATGGACAGCACACACAAAGATAAAACTGCTTTAGTAGGTGATGCAAGACCACTTTAGTAGGTGACAACCTCTGCTTTTTGTAAACTTATAATTTGTCACAAGAGGTTTGTAGTAACAGGTATTCCCAAGGGACTATCATGGAAGATCAGTGAATATCAGTAAGTCACAGCAAGCTGGTGCCTCAGTCACTTTCCCTGCTGTGCAGACCCAGCTGAAAGGAGGAGGGATTTGTTTTGGTCTCAGTTTTGGAAGTTTCAGTCCGGGCATGGCTGGCTGGCTCCAAGGGAGAACTGGTGCGGTGGGGGAGCCTGGCAAGGGGAAGCTGCTCGAGTCAAGGCAGCCGGGAAGCAGAGCGTGAAGGGAGGAGCCCCGAGGGAGATGTCTACCCCCAGGCCACGCCCCAGTGACATGCAGCTTCTATCCAGGTCACCTCCTAACTGCCAGCCAGCTACGTGCCCCCATCCTCCAGTCACCTCCCAAACACACGCGGCTTCGGGGGCCGTTTGAGATCTACGCTATAACAGCTGGTGGTGAAGACATGAATCACATGGATGGTGACCTCTAACAAAGTTAAAAAAGTTTACCTGGAAATGTCATTGTGATGAAATTTTTAAAATTCGGTACTTTATCTGGAGTCTTGAACTTGGCCTTCAGGATATAAATATCACCAAATTTGTTCTTGAGATGCTGAGGGCTGCCCAGACACATGATACTCCCCTTCACCATGATGGCTAGCTTGGTACAGAGAGCCTCACATTCCTCCATGCTTGTAAAACAAGAGAGCAGAGCAATGTAAGACTGTACAGCTCCCCTTTGGAGGACGCGGTTTCAATCACAGCCAGGATTCTGGGGCTGTATTTTCAATGAGAACTTGCATTTGCCAACCACTAAGCTCAAAGTTGGGAAGTGCATATTTAGAAAGCGATGAATAACAGAGTACTCAATTCTCAAGTGAGTACAGCATTTCCTGAACTCCTGTCTTCTCCCCGAGTTTTGAAAATCCACTGAGTATTCTTGGCCATATGCATCCTAATTGCTACAAGGAGCCCATATACTCAAGCAGCTCTGTTTCCCAATATGGTATTCCTGGCTCCAAATAATTCCCTTGTACAGACACTAAAACTACTCCCAACCCCTAGTCAAACCTCCTAGTGAACCACACCTATGGGACGTTATGACGACAGCGTGTCCTCTTTCACGGGTCTTTGTCACTGTGTCCCAGAGCAGGCGTCGGGCCACTGGGTCCATGCCAGTGGATGGCTCATCCAGGAAGATGACCGAGGGCTTTCCCATTACCGCAATAGCAGTATTCAGCCTACGTTTGTTTCCTCCACTTCATGGTTGATAGATGGGAAAGAAGGTGGGAGAAAAGGATGGCACACATGTCGGTTACAGGAAAGACTTAGCACAAACGTCCCAAATGCTGAGAGTTCCAACAAGCACTTAAACTCTTAATGGGAAATCTACAAAGCTGGTTAGCTATGACTTTAACAAGGCACTAGGCCCAAGTGTACATGCACACACACACACGCGTACATTCATACATACATATACACATCACAATTCATTTTAACTTGAGATATAGAGAAGTAACTTTTCTGTGTCTCATTTTGGCAGCATTATCCATGTATTTATTTACTTGTTCTTAGAGTATCACTGTTTTCCAGGTATATAAACACCATAATTCAAAGGACCTACATTCCTCTTTGCTTAAAAGATCAGCAGAGGAACACCAGGATGAAGATACTTCCTTTCACTATTCAGAGGCTCTAGTTCAAATGAGATTTTGAGTTTCATTTCCAAAGAGTATAGACATGGAAATATATGCATCTGCCTTATTACTGACATCTGAAACCGAGCAGAACATTAGATTGTCTTACAATTAGGTGTCTGTATAAAATTACTTTTTTTTTTTTTTTTTT